TATATATGTCCCTTCGGGCCAATAGCATTCATATGAAGGATATTTGAAAACTGAGCTAACATTATTTTCAAACATTGTCACCTTTTCCCTACAATTTAAAACAGGAATGAAGTAAATATGACAATATTTGACGAAAATACATAACTTTTAATTGTGCGAGGTGAGGAAACACGAAAAGGAGAAAATGGACTTCGAAGTTGAGCCACATGTTTCCATAGCGTGGGGGAGGGGGGGGGTCTTAGAATTGAGATAGAGACTTGAAATTTAGCAGATATCTTGGTTATGCCACTACAAGGTAACATACAAATGTAGAAAACTATTCATTCACAGAAAATGGACAAAACAAAATTTTAACGGGAATGGAGTCAAATGCAACCAATAAATATTAGTACAAGGTACCAAATACTAAATTTTCAAAGTAGCTGTTTGTCAAATTCATCTTTTTCATATGAAAGGCCTTTGTCTCCTTAGAATTTTGGTACCATAACTTTTACCTCTCAGTCAATGTTTAAGAGAATGGCAGCTGTTTCAATTTAAAATAATAATCAAATATTGCTGAAGTCGTTAACTGGCTGCAACCCATTGTTTGACATAGTAAAAGAGTACCAAGTGCACCAAACATCTCTACATTAAAAGAGTACAATCATATTAACATAAAAATGAAGCCTAATATTTTTCAAGACTGAGATCATTACAAATCAGTATTTTATTGCCTCAAACACGATGATATGTCATTATTTCAATAAAAACACCGAGCTCGAAATGGGGTCAAAATCAAAATATAGTTGCGAATGAAGAACGTTGGAGCTAAGATTTTCCGCTTGTGGAGAATCTTTGGTAGAAGCAATAGGTGGCCATGAGGTAATGGTTCTAAAAATAATCTCACAACTACACACTAGCAAGGTCCAAATTCCTTTATCTCGTCACCCAAGCTCACAACAAACCACACACACATAGTCGATTATAGTTGTTTATTTTTATCTTAAATGAAGCAGAAAACATCAAATTTTCAATATATCCAAAACAAAAATTTCATGGAAAGTCACTTTTTTGTCTTTCGAGCCTCGTAGCTGACAATAGCATAGTGCGTCTTACGACTGATATTGAGCCAGACAGACATATATAGAGAGAGAGAAAAGAGAAAAGAGACAGAGAGATATATTATGTGTGTATAAATACATTAAACAAAAATTCATAGACAATGGATACGTATAAACACCCCTTCAGGATTACAAAAACGAACACAAATGCCCCCCCCCTTAAACAAACAAACAATCACACACACAGAGAGACAACAACACACACACACAAACACACACACAGAAACAACAACAACATCACCGGCGGTGGCATCTCTTCGGGGAGGATTCAGGGAGGTTGGACTGCCTCACCCGCTACCCAACGGAGGCGGTGGCCCTGGCGAAGAGCACACTCTTCGGGGCTCCGAACATTTCGAACGGATAGGCTACCACACACACACACACAACAACATAAACAACAACAACAACAACAAAAACACAAATACAGAAACAACACACACTCATACACATACACACACGTACACTCACACACGCACACACAAACACACACAGAGAGAAACACCACACAGACACACACACACAGAAACAATACACACAAACACACACACACACATACACACACAGAGAAACAACACACACACAAATACACGCACACACATAGAAACAGCGACTCATTGTTTACTCACACACACACATACACACTCACACACACAAAGAAACAACACACACACACACACTCACACACACAAAGAAACAACACACTTACACACACACTCACACACAAACAAACAACACACACATACACACACACACACACACACACTCACACACACAAAGAAACAACACACACACACATACCCACACACATACACTCACACACACAAAGAAACAACACACCCTCCACTCACCAGGAAAGGAAAGTTCCAAGGTTTGGGCACGCCAAACTCTCCGGGATAGACGTTGTCCACATACCACGTGACCCCCAGGTGGAGCCCGCTATCCACGGCCATCATGAACAGGGAGTCCAGGACGCTGAATGTGGCCGTCGGGTGAGACTTCCTGTAAAAGTTGGACCATTTGGCGCCGGCAGCTGTCGGCCAGACGAGACACGTGTCGTTTGTTGGCTACAAAATGTCCGTCATGGGTCAATTTAAGTTATCTTATTCTGTCTTTGTTCTTTCATTATCATAGAGGGCCAAAGGGTGGGTGGTTGGCGGGGGCTTTACTGTGGTTTGCTCCATCTTTCCTATTAAACATCCATCGTCCTGATCTCTCCTCTTCTTTTTTGTGTTTGTTACTCAATTGTAACACCTCTCATCTTTGGCACTTATATAACCTTATTGTGTTGCAAGTGCCGTAAAACTCTTACTAAAAAAATGCCAGAAGGTGGTCTCAGAACTTAACTTTTCAGATGCTCAAAATGAGTCACACGCTTCTCTGTTAGAATTGGTTCCATTTGCCATAAGCCAGAAGTCATCCTAACCCTAAATTTTTGTGTTTTACTTTAGAACTACTCCCCTCAGCAGACTGACTGGTCACTGTCACTGACAAACCAACAATGTTTATCAATATTACCAATACCACACACAACGAGCAATGTTTATCATCATTATCGATACTACACGCAACGAAGGTGTTGTAAAGTAAAGTAAGCATGATGTAACATTATAAGTACCCACGTTCAGTATTCCATAAAGAGTACTGTAATGGTTAGTATATCGGTATCGTTGAGAGCAAGAAAAGAGCAATATACATATAGAATAAACAACAAAGATGTCTAGCCTACGGCAGCACAAGTCACAATCAGGTAAAGTTAAAGTCTTACATTAAACTCTGGAACACAACCCGAGAAATTGTGTCATTTATTAATGTTTAACGTTGTTGGTGTTCTTGGACTGTTCGCAAGTAGAATACACAACAGTCGGTTATTTCAATGGCAGGAACATGGAAATGTGAAGCATAAATTCTAAGAGTTGTAATGAAACGGGCAATTAAAAAAAACCAAACACCCAAAACAGAACAAGAAAGCTTTGCTCCCACCTGCTTCCTCGTAATCGACGAAGGCCCCGACGCCCCATGCCATGGCGGTGTTGAACAGCAGCGCCATAGACATCCTGTGTGAGTTGCTGTAAGACTCCGGGAATCCCCCAGCCACCCAGTACGGGATGAAGAACACGATGAACCCCAAGGCCGCAGCCACTGCTCCGAGATTAGCTGGGAGGGAGACAGAAAGATTGTCCGTTTTCCTTTAATAAAGTGTAATGTTTTATGTTATACCTAGCACATCGCCACCTCGGTTCTTTCTTTTCCTATCTCCAGTTTTAATAACAGTGAAAACAGTTCATAACAATGAGTTCATAAAATTCCCTATATAAAAGCAGAAATTGTTTTACACACCTCGTTAATCTGACATTTGTTTTATTCTTGGCTCTGGTGCAATGAATGCTTTCTAAGGGCAAAATGGCACAGGGCAACTATAAGGTTTCCAAGCAAAGGGACTGTTGAAGTTGAATAACTCGCTATCTTAAATTAAAAATTCTTTATGACATTTTTTGCCCTTTTGAGTTACTAAGACCATGGAGTCAGAAACCAACAATAAATGTTCTATCTGCACTATCCAAATCGTTAGATAATATTGGGTCTTTATCAAGATATTCAAAGAATTGCATTACAAAAAGTTTGCATAAAACTCAAAAATGTGTACGTCAAATTTCTCACAACTAAGGTGCCTACTAGGCAGATGGAACTTTGTATTTTGTAGGATAGAGAGCTGAACATGACGTAGTCACCATAGTGACGTAAAATGTCCACGTAGTCACCATAATGACGTAAAATGTCGATATATCACCATAATGTCGTAAAATGTCCATGTAGGCACCATAGTGACGTAAAATGTCAACGTAGTCATCATAGTGACGCAAATGTCCAGGTAGTTACCATAGTGACGTAAAATGTCCATGTAGTCACCATAGTGACGTAAAATGTCCACGTAAAATGTCCAGTAGTCACCATAGTGACGTAAAATGTCCATGTAAAATATCCACGTTATCACCATAGTGACGTAAAATGTCCATGTAGTCACCATAGTGTGACGTAAAATGTCCACGTAAAATGTCCATGTAGTCACCATAGATTTTTCCTCTTTCTTTCTTGTGTTTGGTCCTCTCTTGTTACTTCTCTTATCTTCCAGTCTTGCTAAAACTTTTTTAACGTCCAGCTAAAACTAAATTACAGTCTTACCAAATCTAAAAACAGTCTTAATAAAACTTTTTAAAGTCTTATTAAAATTGTTTTAAATAATTTTACCAAAACCAAGAAAGCAGTCTTACTACATATAAAACTATAAAACAGTCTCACTAATACCAAAAAAAAACCAGTCTTACTTAAACTGAATACCAATCTTACTAAAACTTTTTTAAAAAGGTCTTATTTATTAATACTTAAAAAACAGTCATACTAAATCGAAAAAAGCAATGTTACTAAAACAAAAAACAGGCTTATTAAAACTAAAAAATAGTCTTACTAAAACAAAAAAAACAGTCTTACCAACACTAAAAAGTCGTACTAAAACCCCCCAAAACAACAACAAACAAGTTTGACTAAAACAAAAACACAAAAAACCCAGTCTCACTAACAGGAAAAACTGGAAAACACAGGTACAAGCAGAGACCCACCTCTGTGACCATGAAACAGAAGGACAAGGAGGAACCTACCTCTGTGACCATGAAACAGAAGGACAAGGAGGAACCTACCTCTGTGCACGAACACGCTGACCATGAAGCAGAAGGAGACTAGGGAGAAACTGTAGACCAGCAGGAAGACAAGGACGAGGCTGGTGCTGGACTGTGGCAAAGCTTCCGTCACGGCGATGATGATTGTGTAGATGATGATGACGACGAGCATGTACGCGCTGCACGTGATGAACCAGGCCGTCCAGTAAGAGGCTGTGCTCACGCCCATCAGCCTCAGGGACTCCTGGGGACACAGGGTCATACTGGTCGGTGGGAGGTTTACTAAGCTTTTACGGTGCTCGCAACTGCATCATGTCATATGAGCACCAAGAGATGAATGTCAACAGAGAAGTCCCAATGGGGAATCAGACTTACTCTGCTCACTTCTCTAGCTTCAACAGCAGAAAGTCTGCTTCGACTATAAAGGAAACACCGAAATAGCGGGTCCCAAGAGAGTAACAAATATATAAAAGAAGTAGAGAAAAAATAACGACAGTAAGAATGAGGAAAGAAAAAAACAGCAGTTCCCCCTATGTTGTTCCGGCACAGTGTGAGCCGGACTTTGATAAATGAGGGCCGTAACGATAAAAGCTTACAGTTCCCCCTTCGTTATTCCGTCACAGTATGAGCATGACATTGATAAATGAGCGCCGTAAAAGTTTACTAAACCAAACGTTACTGTCATAACACAAGTACTCTCGTCGGTTTTTCCACGTTTCTTGTTGTTGGTGGAAAAGTCTGTTACTTCTTTGGTTTTTGTCTGTTTGTTTGTTTGCTTTGGCCTCAAGTCCTGATTAGGTGCAGAATAGTTGTGAGTAACTAGTAGGACAGTTAGGTGCAAAAATCAGCCGAATCATTCACATCTTAATACAAGCACTAAAATTGGCCTACATATCCATTACGACATGCTTGCTCACCAAGTAACAGCGTGCAGCCTCTACCAGTTCTTGAAATCAGCCTACTCTACATATGTAGAAGAATTGGCTGACCCGAAGTTTTGAAGACTGGTGTGAACATCAAAAACTACAGAGCCCACAGTTCTGTTACTGGAACATTGTGCTGACAATGGAGTTAGCTGTTCTACTATTTATCAGGTCCTTGAGAGCTTCCAGGTTCAGTCTCTACCGTCAGGCCTTACGTCAGCTTATGCCATACTTGTTTGCAAACAACAACGTGGACTATGCACGGTGGCTTCCTATACACCTGATAGATATGCTGACTTTGGAGATTTCATGCTGGGAAATTTGTTTTTCACAAAACCAACAGAGATTTCTCAGGAATGGCAACTGACCAAGCACATGAACAAGCCAATGCAGTAATCAAAGGTGATGGAGGAGCAGTCGAAATCACTGAAAATCCATCAGCACTGAGAAGATGGATGGCTGCCGGCCCTACTGTGTCACAGCTCGTTGCACAGTATGAGGAGGTGTCAGTATTGATGGATGTCTCAGAGCAGACGAAACATCATGAACAGACACCCGCTTGCCAGAGAAGCTACCTGGAAATGGTCCAAAGTTTGACAAGCACGCTAGAGGAAATGGGAAATCAATTTCAAGAAGAATCTGGAGATTTGTTCAGTCTGATCATTAAGGATATAGCATCCCCTTGTAGTGCTGATAGGAATTCATCTTTTGAGGCACACATACAGACACTAAAGCATGAAGGTACAAGCTCGTCCTATGCACAATAATGAAGACAAAAATTGATTTCTTTCAGCAAGAAAAGCTTAGCACTGTTTCCATTGAAGGATAAGGTGATGAAGGAAGACTACCAGCTTTTCTCAAAATTATTCATTTCCTATCAGAACAGAGAATGCAATCTTCATGAGTTCTTCCGTCTCAAGTATCAGTCATATCCAACATCTCTGAGTCATGGAGGAAGGCTGCATGTCTGCCAGAAGTCACAGCTAGCAGCCATACTGGAGGACAAGGTTACACTACAATCACGAGGAGGCTGATACAAGAATCTTCCTACATTGGATACTGTAAAGGGGGGCTTCGAAACAGTCATGATAAAAGACAATGACACAGATGTTTTTGTGATTGCTGTTGTCACTTTCTCACAATTACAGGAACTGAGACTCCAGGAAATGTGGCTAGCTTTTGGGCAAGGACGAAATCTGAAGTGAATCTCCGTGCATGACCTCACCAGAACCATCACCCAAGAGAGGACCAGTAGTATTCTGTTTTTCCATGCCTTTACAGGTTGTGATATTGTGTCTGCATTCTGTTGAAAGGGCAATAGGTCAGCATAGCAGATATGGGATGTGTGTTCTGAAGCTGTTGATGATGCACGACTGGAGATTTTTCCAGGAAGCACAGATCCTACGAAGCTATTTCATCAACTTGTGCAGCCCATGTTCAGCATATTAGACGTGCTGCATACCAGTCAGCATGCATATTATGGAGCCGGGCTTTGGAGTGTCAGTTTGAAGAGGAAAGTCCTGCAGAAGAGGGCTGGAAACAAGAAGAAGACTGTTGGAATATCCTACGGTCTGAGCTCCCACCAATTGCCCAGAGTTGCCAGCAGCTTACGAAATGCTAGTGCAAGATGCAGTGTCGTGGACGTAGCAAGTGCTACAAGTTCAGTTTGATCTGCACAACAATGTTCAGCTGCACCTGCTGAATTGGAGTGATTAATGCTCAGCTGGTCATGATAATGATTTTACATGCAGGTTTACAATATGTAGGCCTACTTTGCTTAGCTTACTACTTACTCATTTCCAATGTCATATCACACAATGTAACATCTTGTTAAATATCTGTGAAAATCAGAAAACTCTGTGTTTGGTGGCTTTTCATTCATTTTAAAGATTTCCCTTTGTCAGATTTTACTTCTCAATTGTCAAAAATGTCAGAAACGGTTTTGGTATCCTAAAAACTGGAGAAGAAGAACCATAGATGCACCAAAGAGTCTGCGAATGGCCGCCATTTTGGAAAATGACAGCCATTTTAGATTTTCACGTGGTTGGAAATTTTTTATGAAATAACAACCCAAAAGTACTGGGCATGCCACTTTTGGTGCTTGTATGACAATGTAAATAAGCCACAGAGGCACATAATATATATATACCAAAGAGCCTGCAAATGGCGCCTTCTAGGAAATGGCCGCCATTTTGGATTTTCCCGTAATAAACGTTCTTTTTATGAAACAACAGCCCAAAAGTAATGTGCATGCCAATTTTGGTTCTTGTATGACATTGTGAATGATTTTACACGTAGCTGTCCCACTATACGGAGAAAAAGTGTCGACGTCGTGGAAGATTTTGTGTCGCAAGAACAAACAAAACAGGAGAGAAAGAGAAGAAAAAAAAACCAGCCTGGTTTTCAATTTGATAATGAGGATGATGTTGATGATTTTGGTGATGTTGGTGATGATGATGATGATGATGATGATGATGATGATGATGATGATGATGATGATGATGATGATGGTTTGGTGATGATGATGATGGTTTGGTGATGATGATGATGATGATGATGATGGTCATGACTCTCATGCTGGAGCTTCAAACAGAATCCACGTGAAGGCCTACCTTCAGTTTTTGCTGCTTCTCATAAACGATAGCCTTGGTGAACATGATAACGCTGAGTAGAAAAGACAGCAGGAAGAATAACGGGAGGAATATCTTGAGGATCAGAGTGAGGTGGTCAAGGACGTAGGGAGGGTAGGGCATTCTCTGGGTGAATACTCTCCAGTCTTGGACCAGGCTGGAGTTCCAGTGCTGCATAACGGCCTTGAAGACAAGGTTGACCGCATCCACTAACAGACCCCCTTGGTACCCTGGAAGAACTGGGAAGTTCGTCATTAGTATGTTCTGGTTACTTACTGCTGTACTAGAAATGACTGGTTAGTTCATTTATGTTCTGGTTTGCTGCTATGATAGATTGTGGTCATCGAGTGATACACGTACAATATTCGCTGAAATGTCTGTTAGTTTAGATATCAATATGTTGTGGCTATTGGGATTGTGGAAATGTATGTCTAGTTCATAAATTAAATATGTTGTTGTTACTGCTATAGTAGAAATGTCGGTTAGTTCTGGTAGCTGGTATGATAGAAACCTATGTTAACTTTGTACATGTACTCAGATAAACTATTTTTGTTCTGCAAAGTGTAACATATTACATTTACATAATTCAGAAGAAAGGAAATTAAACAAGAATATGAACAGTCTGGAGTGGAATACCATGAGTATTCACAGAAGCATACAGTAGAGTCGATAATACGACCTGTTGTACCCACAAGGGACATGCTGAGTCGATAATACGACCTGTTGTAGGGAAATACTGGGTCAATCCGTCTGCTCGTCCCACTGAACGAGATCAGCAAAAATAAACTATCAGCCAATTCTGTAACAACCAATTAAACTCCCCCCCCCACCCCCCAGGGCAGTGCCACTGACTGGAGTGTCTTTAGGCCCTTCCCAAAAGGGGGCACATAAACATGTTCTTATACTACACAGCAGAATTGTAAACGGGCTGATTTATCAATGTCATGCTCATACTGTGCCGGAACAACATAGGACTAGCATCTGCGTGTGTCGCGGCCCCTATTTCCGAGGTGCCTTGGCAGACTTTGTGCAGCTGAGGTTAGAGAGGAGAGCAGAGTAAGGGTAGACCTCCTTAATGGTAGATCGCCCTAAGGGTTGACCTCCTTAAGGGTAGATCGCTCTAAGGGTAGACCTCCTTAAGGGTAGACCGCCCTAAGGGTAGACCCACACCGGCGTCGGGCCTGACAGTTTTCCGACACAAAAGAAAGAACGCCGGCAGAACAGGAACGACAGGGATCAAACACGACAACCCTCCCCCCCTCCCCCCTCCCCCCTCCCCCCTCCCCCCCTCCCTCCCCTCCCCCTCCCCCCCCCACACACACACACCAAAACCCGACGTCCCGGACCAGACAGTATTCCCCGCCGTCCCTGGAGCCGAAGGGGGGTAATTTTGGTAGACCTTGCCTCTATCAATTCTCTCCCCTTTCCCGTCACGGTCTGTTGGTTTTATGCACAGTTCCCCACTCTTGATTAACTTAATATTAAATGTATTTATTAATCTTTTTACAATACAACTTGGAACAGAAATAATACATTAATAAATGTATTTAGCAATTTTCGTATAACATGACCTGGAACATAAATAATAACGAAATAATAATACACGAAAACTCAATAATTATACATAATTATACATAACATACTATATAATATGTAACACTACATTACCCAATAACTGACTAGATGACAACCACAGAACAAAACTCACTTCCGTAGCCATTATAGGAGCTGTCGGAGGGACCCTGGGAGTATCTGATGGCTCCTCCAGTACGCCAGGACCTGTCGTAACGGCCGGGGCGAAAAGCCAGGGCGACCTGCTGTGGCAGACGTGTGCTGCCGCCTTCAATGTTGTGAAACTAGAGAGGCGAGAAAGGCAAGGTCCAAAGAGTTTTTTAGTAGATACAAATGTGTAATTTTTTTTTTTTAATGTAGGTGTTTTTACACCCCCATTGACACTAAATGTGACGCAGCGTGGTGGAATCAGGCTCTCGTCAAAATAATGAAATCGAAGAAAACAGCAGTTTTCTCTCTGCTCAGCAATTTTAATCAAATTTTTGTTTTTTGGCTCAATACATTTTATGTCTATTTACAAACACATTCCTTTAAAGATTTCACCGAAAAGCGTTGATTAAAGGCACACAAAATATACATTTACAGTTTCCATGGACTCTCCAGCTTTTGAATTTACCAAGTTTGGGCAGCCAATTTCTCGTCTCGTTAATTTTACCTCTTAAAACAGGTGACCCTCACCTCCTTCAATCCAAAATATCTCCACTTCTATTGAAGATGCATGGGTATTTTTTTTATTGAAAGCAAGACAAACAAACAAGTTTTAAGATGATATCAATAACTCAATATGCCCCAAAATTGACAAGAGCCTGATTCCATCACGCTGCCTCACAAATGTCCTACATACTGAAAAATATAAAATGTGTCCCGCGCGCTCATATGACCTTATGCAGTTGCGAGCGCTGTAAAACACTTGCCAAAAAATAAAACAAAAACAAAACACACACTCTCTCTCTCTCTCTCTCTCTCTCTCTCTCTCTCTCTCTCTCTCTCTCTC